CAATTATTTATTTGTCCATTTTACCACGTGGACTGAGCAAACAGACTTGGGTGAGCCCATATGCAATATCCTGCATGCAAATGCCACTCTTAACAATGCTGCTTGAAATTATGTCACTGATAGGTGCTAATTTTCTCTGATACAACAGAATGATAATGATGGACTATTGGGAAAAAAATAATAAGTAGTCCTTCTTAGGTTGTGTGCACTGGCATACTAAACTGGTCATAAAATTAGGGGGAAAAAAAGGAAGAAGGAGACATTAACCTATTTTTAATTGGAGCTTTTTAGCAACAATGGGAAGACTGTTTTGCAGCAACAGCACCTTATTCCTGAAGGAAACCATCAGGATGTAGATCCATATGTTTTTAGGGAGGATGCTTGTTAATGATGGTGCCCACAGCCAGGCAGTTGAATTCTAGATATCCAAATGTTTCCCAGAGCCCTGAGAACTCCAAGGGGTGTTTCACATCCTCATACTTCTGCAGTGTCATCATGCAGGTAACTCTGTGCTGAATGTAGGGCAGCAGGCACTCTGTCAAGTACAGTAGATGTAGATTTTAATACAGCAGCATTGCATACTGCCTTATCAAATAAATCAGGGTGCTGGAAGAAGGTGTAAGCACTTGGATGCAGTGGTCACCCTGAGCTGCCTCTTTTTTCTTGTTTCACTTCTGGTTTGTGAAGGAATCCACGTAAGAAATGTAGACAGAATACCTACCAATTATTCCATATTAATTATTAATTTAAAAGCAGGAAGAGGAGATGTGACAAGGATGAGATCTTTCACTGACTGTTTAATAATAAAAGGTCATTCATGGAAAGCTTATGAAGGACATAAAAGCACAAGTAAAACATGTATTAGGACATGCTCAAAGAGTTTTGTGATGAGACAACAGGGTTGAACAGCAGAGATTTTTTTTTAATAGTATTTGGGTAAACCTGATGACTTTGAGCATCCCTTTTATCATGGAGCTAGAAAATGTTCCAGAAATAGAGAACTGAAGGATGGTCTCATCTTTCTGAGTTTCATTTCAACCCTTCCTATTGCCATTCTCACACTTGCTGTATTTTCTGTTATAATTCCACTAAGAATGGGAGAATCTTGGTTCTTTCTGTCCTTGAAACCTTCAATAACAAGCTCATAGTGTAGGAACAGTAAGCTACCAAGAAAAAAAAAGTGGGAAACACTGTGTGCTTCTTCAAGAAGAGTTCCCACTTAAATCCAGCAGGCAGACAGATCTAAAATACTGCCACACAATGCAGGTGGGGGTATTCCAAAATCCACATCCCTGTGGATTATACAGTCTATAATCCAAAATCTGTCTGGTGGCTGAAGTCCCATCTGTTGCTTCCTTTTGGTTTCTTTAAGATGTGAACTTTTTTTCTCAGTTCATAAGTGCACTGCAGGTATTGTGTTTATTCAGTTTGGTCAAATTATCATAGAATCATAGAATCATTTAAGTTGGAAGGGACCTCTAAGATCATCATGTCCAACCATTGAGCCATTAGGGCTCTAAAGTCCTCTGCTAAAACAGATCAGAATCTGTCAGGGTTGGAAGGGACCACAAGGATCCCCCAGTTCCAACCCCTCTGCCATGAGCAGGGACACCTCCCACTAGATCAGGCTGCCCAGAGCCTCCTCCAGCCTGGCCTTAAAGACCCCCAGGGATGGGGCCTCAACCCCCTCCCTGGGCAACCCATGCCAGGGTCTCACCACTCTCATGGGGAAGCACTTCTTCCTCACATCCAGCCTGAATCTGCATATCCATTAATCAGCCTGTCAGGGTTTTTTGGGGTGTTTTTTTATGGTATGTAAGCATACTGTACCTTTTGTTTCCTGGAAACCCTTGACCCTCAGCAGAACCATGGCTTCTTGGTGCTTGGTTAACTTTATTTTGCACAACTCTAACTAACAAGCATTTAAAAGGACCAGAAACCCTCCGTGGGTTTCTCCTGGTGCCTGACCCTGTTGGGGAGCAGCACATTAATCCCACTTGATGGCTTAATGAGGAGGGTTAACTGACCACTTCCCAGCTCTAATGAAAAACAAGAGGTCAGCAATCACCAGCTGAGCAAAGAAGAGGATCTCTTCCAACTTCTACATTTACTCCTTCATCCTCAGGCAGGGACAAACGTGTCTGCTCCACTGCTGAAACATGACCACTCCTCTTCAAAGTTCATCTTCATGATAGATCAATCCCTGACACGTGTTTACCCAATCGAAGCAATCAAAGCCACTGGGCCAGTTACCTAATTAAGGTTGATGTCATCCTGGAGGGGGGAGAGCAGTGTTCTATTGAGCAGGCTCTTTCAGGAGTGTGTCCTTAACGTGGGGATGGGGCACTGGAGCTCCTTTTTTGGTCAGTAATCCATCTCCCTTCCAGGGGGTGTGTTCCATAGAGACCAGTACCCCAGTCAGGGGCTTCTCAACTTCCCTGGGAAGCAAACTCTCTCAAAAATACTAAACACTCCTAAAAAACCAAGTTGTGGGAATGACAGGTCAGGCTCAGTGCCTTAGGAGACACTTCTCATATTTTTGGCCTTACCCTCTTGGCTTCAGTTTCCAATGTGTAAAGTAGAGATGGTTGCACCATCTTGTAGGGGACTTGAGATTTCCTGCATCCTGCAGTGTAGAACAGTGCAGGGAGAGAGATTCTCTTGGCTTTCTGTCCCCAAATAATGTTCTCTTTGTCCAGTTGCTACCCATCTGTTACCCCTGCCCCTTCTGCTTCTGGCCAGCACTCACCTCTGGACCTTTTCTTTTCCTCTTTATCTATCAGCTTCCACACTGTCAGTCTCTCCTGAGCATCTCCTTTCTTCCCCAGCTTCTCCAGTATCCCACTGCCTGCATCTCCTTCCTCCTCCACTGCTTTTTTTTGGAGCCTTTCTCTTTCCATGCCTACTACCTCCTCAAACTCCTGTCTCCTTGTGAAGCTCCTGGTGGTTCCTTTGCTCTCACAGCCAGTACCTTGTTCCTCTTCCCTCTGAGCTCTTCCATTGCCACGTCCTGAAAGTGTCCTGGGGGGTTTCTGCGTGGAGTCCTCGTGCCAAAACATCACCCAGCATGGGAAAAAGGGACAGCTGGAGCACAGGCTCAGCTCAGACCTCCTGCCCTGGCCCATGCTCTTTGCAGAAGGGAAGTTTGGAGGTGGGTAGCCAACCTTCACCAAAACCTTTGCAAATCACGTCACGTACAAACTGCAACTTCTCAGCCTTTTATACTGTGATCCGTTAGAGTTTTAAGTGATAATGTATGAGATGGCAAAAGGCACATCTGTGGTATCAGAGCAGTGATGCTTCAAAGGGTCTTGTCTCAAAGTGTGAAGGCTCTTGAGCTTCTCAAATATGTCTGTGAAAAATGTAACACGGAGGGAAAAACCAACATGTTTCTCCCTAGCCTTGTTCACAAACTTCCTTTGCACTGAACTCGGTGCTTGGAGCTGATACATTCTTAAACTCACAAAATAAAATTCACCCCCAGGCAGACATCCAGCATGGAAAATCTCAGCCCTCACTGCTAATGTGTGGTAAAGTTATAAGCAGTAGAAAATGAGGTCTTAAAATGAGAAATGTCAGGCAACCTTAACTATCTGTAGTCCTACAAGATCCACTGATGATAATCTGTTTTTTTGACAGATTTCAGCCCATTTTCAGATTGGTTTTGACACATGCTCTACAAAGAAAGTCCCCAGAGTAGGACTCTCAGGCTTATAGATGAAAAAAGTATCTCTAAGTAGTGAAAGCAGTGATCAACCATGCAGCCCCTTTGCCTTCTGCCAAACTTCTCAAACTGGGCTGCAGCACGTCCCTAAAGCCTCAGACAGAATCAAGGCATTAAAGCTGAGACCTGTTGACTTGGGACCAGTTCTTATCTCATAAATCTAAATGTAGATTGCAGGGGAACGTTGGATTTTAAAAGTATTGCAGAAATTGTAGCATAAAACTACAATTACATCAACAAATACACATCTCCAACAATTTTGGAGTAGATGCTGACTGGCCAGTAGACACTGCAGACTCCTGTCTTGACCCAAATCTCCCCTTTCTTGTAGGTTTGTGGGTTATTTTTTCCCTATTTATGAACTCAAAACCTGTCCATGGTATTTCTCCAGGGTGAAACTATGAACTTGGCTTATTTGGAGCATCAGGAAACCACTTTATGCCCCAGCTAGGTGGAGGGGGTTGGGCTGGAGGCACAGGTTTACCCTGATGATAAGATTTCTGGGAGGCCTCACCTCTTGGTAGAGGGGCTCAGGAATCCTACGTGCCCAGACAGGGCTGTTGGCCTGGAATGTTGTTTGGGGAATCTAGAGCAAGGTGCATCCCAGCAGCCTTGTTTGCAGGCTGCCTGCAGCTGGGTTTTGTGCCTTTTTTATTTTACTTTTTGGTGGATTTTCGCACTTGTTGGGTTGGGTTTGATTTTCTTTGGGATTTTTTTCCCAGGTTGCATGCAAAACCCTGTGTGAGGGGTAATCACCCATCCCCTACATCAGGCTGGCAGCATCTCCATGACTTTTAAAGTGTCTTTCAGTAGAGCCCTGCTTGACAGCTCAACAAAAACGCTGCCTTCCTAAAAATCACTTCCTAGAATGCCAGTGCATGAGGAGCTAGGAGAATCCAGTTCCTTCCCTGCTGGGATAGAATTTCTCATTTTTCAAAACTGTTCCACCCATCTTAACAGAATCTGGGGGAAAAAAAATGTTTGCTTAGTCTTTACCTGGACAAGATAACTTCATGTTACACGTTTTTGGCAAAGACTTGTGGATGTTCTAACACTCTTTTGAATAGCTGGAAAAGAAACTTGAGTTGTGAACAACTCTCCCCATTCTCACCAGTAAAATGTGACATTTCCAATAACACAATCTCCCTTTTTTATGGTGGCTCAGGCATAATTCCTTCCTGGGAGGATTTCCACTGGTACGTAGCCTAAATTTTTTATACTTGATATTACTCTCTTCATCAAATCAAAATCTTTATGTGTTTATTCTTAAAACTAGGCACGTGCTCGAGTGCCCCAGGCAAAAAGGGCTTAAAGCACGTGACTGGAGACTTGAACTAGGCTGTTATCATTTCCCCTCTCTAATTATCAGAGGAGTTCCAGGCGGGTAAAGGGCTACTTTAAATTTTCTTGCTAAATCACTCCCTCCGGCTTCTAATCATTTCCGTTCCGCTTCTCTGGCCTTCCTCCAGTTGGTTTCTATCTTCCAGTAATGAAGTGCCTGAACTGCATACAATATTCCAGGTGTGGCTGTGAAAAGCAAGGCCTGAAGAGAGCAGAGCCATGCCAAGCAGCTCCTGCTCCTGCAGAAGGAGCCAGGGGTGTTGTTGGGGGTGATATCACCCAGGATCCGTTCCCAGTGGGATGAACTCCCTGCGTTTGGCTGGGAGGAATTTTTTTGTGGACATTCTTCAAGGCAGAATTGGTGGGGGAGCTTCTCATCCAGTTGCCAAATAATGACAAAGTGGATTCTACGTTTCTCACTTGCTGTGTGAACATCTTTTTTTCAGGTGAGGAAGAGGAGAGAGAGGTTAGGGGATGACAAATGCAGTGCATGACATGAACTGGGCATTGTGCAGCAGGGGATAAATAAAATACATTTCCTGCATGAGTGCATCTCCAACAGCATTTCCATATCTGTGTCCCTTTAAACCAAGTATTCCTGATCCCTTGGTTGCCTCAACATCTTCAGGGACCATTATCTTGGAAATACAAGGGGCAGGGGTGCTCTTGGAGGCAGGAGTGTGCTGTGGCCAGGAAGGAGCTGCCAACCAGTGCTAGATTTTTCTGCAAAGTAGAAACTTACTTTTTTTTTTACACTTTTTTATTATTTTTATACCTTTTGTACACTTTTACAGCTTTGACTTGCCAAAACACTACTGCAGGAGGAAGCGTGGACCTTCAAGAAGTCCAAGAAAACCCTCTATGAGAGGCTGGAGAACCTTTGTGGAGGCATTGTCTCATCATATGCTTTCCCCACCATGACCTACGTGCTCTGCTTGCCAGCTTTTCCTTGTCTTGCTGAAACTCCTGCCTTCTCTGCTTCTACAGTATTTTGAGTTTTATTCTCTTAAACTTAAGACCAACACAGGGGTGCTGCCTGGGAAAAAATGGAGTTTCCCCAACTGCATCAGCACTAATGTTGAGAGGTCTTCTGTGCCAACTCCTCCAAGCTTAGAGGGGCTGTAATGACTTGGTGAGTCAGGCTCCAGTTATTTTTTCATACCACCTATTCCCTTTCAAAAATTAGTTTTACTTCCACGCTTCATCTTATGTTACAAGTACTTTAGGTTTGATCTTCTAAATCTCATTGGGAAGCCCCCAAAACCCAACCACCACCAATCTTCCCACCTAACTTCTTAATGATTTCTGCATGTGAGTTTTGGCTGTGCTCCAGCTTTGAAATCATTATGCTGCTGATTCAGAGTGTAAATAAGTGGGACTGGATTAATAAATGGTATGAAACATGGAGCCACACTTCATTATAATCCACTTATCAAAGTGCATCTGCTTTTCATTTCCAGTTTGATCTTTTCTCTGTGTGTTACCTTCTCAGAAAGGGCTTTTACTGCTGGTGCCTGGGAGTTTCAGAGTTGCTTTTGAGGATGGCAAAACGGAGCTGGGATGTATTAGGAAAAAACTTAGGACTGGATTATCCTGCCTAATTATAAATTGGGGTGTTGTACATCACACTGAAATCTGGTATAAATAGAAGGCAGATCAGGTTGGTCGTGTTTGTGGCCTTGGTAAAATTTCCATTTTCTCAATTCAAACTTTTACTTAAAAAAACTTCTTCCAGAGAAGTAGAATTTTGCCTTTACTCACTATAATTTTTGAAAGATAAAACAATTGCTTTTGATGGCAGTAGTGAAACCCACCCTTTACAGAAGAGAAGACTCTGGGTTTGAACGTGCCTCTTGTGGAATTAAACGTGGGTAGACTGAGATGGTTTTATATTTTGTTTTTCTTAAATATATTGGATGCAAGGGGCACAGATATATATCATGAAGGAGCAGCTACTGTGATCAGGGGTGAATTCTGGCTATAAATTATATAATAATTGCTCTTTTGTCTGAACAGAATGAATCTTGAACCAGCAATGACATCAATTAGGCAGCGTGATCTTTGAAAGTAGAATGGAATAATTCAATTTATGCCTTGATCATGTTGTATTTAGACCCTGAGGTGACTTTTTTTCCTGTTGTCCTACATCTCTTTTTTCAGTTTTGTTTTCAGTGGCCACCATCATTTGGGCTGAAATTTGACCTATTTATTTTTACCTCAATAACCATTCCCTTACAATGTGGGGGGGAATGCCTGATTCCTTCCACATGTCACTGTGGCATATGAATTGTGTCTGAAAAATTTAGTAAAAAATGAGGATTTTTGTTGTTTTTTTGGGGTTTGGCTTTGGTTTTTGGGGGGATAATTAGAGGAAGCTTTGGTTCATCAGTGGGTTTGTTGCTATGGGCTACTTCTCTCGGCCTCTTGAGGTGCAGTGAGGAAGCAAAGGGTGAAGTAGCTGTTTTCAAGGATGTAGGAAGGTTGTCCTGTCCCATTTTTTTTGTTGTGAACAAAGATTGTGGACAAGGCTACCAAGCCTGACCTGAATTTGGGGGGTGGAGGGGGCTGGGGAGACCCGTGGCTCTGAAAATGCTTCACCTGCTTTGGAGGGGGTGCTTGGAAAGACCTGTTCATACCTTTAAAGATGAAAATGATAATTGTAATTAGTTTAATAAGCTTTGTGCTACTTCATTGACACTTTTTGGTTTAGGTTGTTGTAGTATTTTAACAGGAAATGTGCTGTAAAATGTCATTATAATAGTAGAAGCTTCTGCTGTTGTCTTTCTTCTGACTTGTTCTTCAGATTTACCTGGAAAAACAGAGAGCTGAGGCTCCTGATAAAAAAATAAATGGAGAGGAAAATGAAGAAAATAAATAGGTGGACATGCACCTATTTCAAAGGATAAAACAGATTTCCTTTTTAAAAAGCAGCAAATAAGTGCAGGAAATTTTAAAGTTCACTTTGGTGAGCATCTAGTCAACTTGGGTCAACATTTCTCTGTTTGGGATCTCAAGAGGTTGGGATAGAAGGCTCTGTTGGGAAGATATTCCTTGCAGCCTTTAAAATAAACTTATTACTGACCAGGGTTCCAGAGGAATAGATTTGTCAACATATGCACTGACAATATTTGAAATTTTCACTATTATCCATCATACTATTCATGATTATGAATTTAACATATTTCCAGGCTGAGCTGTAGTAAACTGTACATGAAAAATGCAAGAGAAAAATATGCTTTGAAGATAACGTGTCGTTCACACAGAATAAAATTTATGATCTGCTGAGCATGCTAAATGCAAGAACATAACAGGCTTCAACTTCAAAATGTTTGCAAAAACCAAAGGGTAACTATATTTTTTTTTTTTTAAAGTTAACAGAATATTTTCACTGAGATCAAGAGCTGGTAAAAGTTTTACTTTGTGAAACAAACTGGCTGGGTTTTTTTTTCTGGTTGTATCTTACATAAATAGCATCCATCTCCTTGCAGGGGCTGGCCTGGAATTGCAAAACACAGGATTAATGCTGCATACCTTGATTTTTTCCATCTCTCCTATGAGAATAGAAGTTCTTTTCGTTTGCCTGCTCCATCTAATGACTACAAAACAGTTTGATCTGTATCTGAAGGTATCAGTAAGATAATGGGGCAGACAAAGCAGTTTGGAATAGTGAGTAGAGTGCAACAGGCTTCAGCCTCATACACAAAAAATAGAGATATTTTATGGAGGTGAACATTTTCAGTAGAATATTGACTGAATGAGCGTGGCTTGGGGAGCCATCCAGTCAGCCAGACATTCTTACAGTGGAGGAATTGAATGTCTCCAGTGTAGAAATTTGGAGTATGTCAAGAATGCCTTATCAGATTTTTAGCCTGGGAAAGCAGAAACGGGCGTGATGCGTGCAGCCTGATCTCCTGTGGATCTGTCCTGTTTACTCCTCTGCAGATAACAGCATCTAGAGACCTCCAAATGAGCCTTCAGTTCAAATTTAAACCCAAAGGGAAAATTTAGAAACTTCCTGAAGGAGATGCTATAAAATATTAGATGTGTGATTTTGTCAAAACAACGTCTTCCGAGGCTCTAATTCTCACTCTCTGCATTCCTGTATCCATTATAATCTAAAATCAAAAGCAATTGAACTGAAAACTCATTTCCAAACAAAATTATTTAGCTCGATAGCAGGATTCTGTTGGTGCTTGTAGATATGTGGGCTTGGTTTTCCTCCTAGACAAATTTCTAATGCTGTGTGATTTCACTGCATCAGAAATGCTGTGCAAAGATCAGATACCTTCCCTTTTCTCTGCCATCATTCAGCATTTATTTGGCCACATAAAAAGGGAATTATCACACAGTCAAATGGCCATGCCTAGGCTGCCAACTGGAAGTTTTCTTAGCTCCTGTGGATTTCAGGAGTCCCCAGCTGTCCTTTGTGACCTTTAAATCACTTTTTTTGGTGATCTTTACGTGGCTGGTCGGTATGAACTCTGCCTCTTTTTGTGGAGGTGGCAGTGGGCATCCTGAGAATGGTTTTAGTACCAGCTTTAGGGCATGTCTTTTTCTGGTGGCTCAGTGCTTCTGGACAACAGGATGGCTGGAGCACCAGGGACAGGCTTGGGGAGGCTTTCCAAATTCTGCAGCACGCGCTCAGCACGTCAGGAGAAAACGTGCACGTGTACTTCAAACATGAGATATTTATGTCTGTTTTCTTCCTCATTTGTCTGGCTGTTGTAAACAGGTCTTATCCCTTCTGGATGGTTTCTCCTGCAGAAAATAGTAGCCTCTTTCAGGCGACATCCCATGCTCCCTTGCCAAATTTCCCCTCTCTTCTTGATCCCTCTCATCGGTGCCCTTTTCAGTCTGCTTAAAATAGTGAGTCAGAACCATTTTTATAACTTCTCATCTCCTCTGCCAGGGTCACCAGGCTCTACCAATTGTTTTTACTGCCCTGGT